TTTCATTCCCTGAGCTATTTACCTGTTGGATTTTTATCACCAGGGTGATGATATTTCAAGGATTGCCAAGCCGTGTAAGATAGTTGAAAGAATGGTCAACCAGAACACATATGATGACATCGCACAAGGTTTGTAACAATGGGTCTCTATCTACCTAAGAACTAGATCATGAGCTCGAGATTTCTATGAGGTGATAGTTGATGAGGCGAAAGGCCAAATTAACTATCACCTCATAGAAATTGAGGCTGAATAATCGAATTGTTTTAGTAGAATTCCAACTAAAATTTCTTTCGAATGACGATTTCCAATTGTTTCGCTATGTAGTATCAAACTTCAAGCTTTAGAAAAATTGCGCGGACTGGATTGTCATTTTAAATTTGCAGCTGTGTACGTGTGGATCAGTATTTTCAGCAATTCAAAAACTCACCGTGATTGCCCTTCTTTTAGTCTTCTCAGGGACTTAATCATCCGTTTGCTTCTAAATTTTCCACCGAAACTTTGGTAAAAGGAGAAAATGTCGCCATTTTGAAGACGACATTCTGCCACTGCACACAAATGGCTGATAGTGTACGATAGCTCAGCCAATTAGATTGCAGCATTTGCATTAGTATATTAGTAGATTCCTGTACTAGTTAAGCCCCGGCCAAACGATCGCAACAACTCAATGCAACATATCGCAACATCTTTGCACGCACCAAGCTGCGCGCGTTTGGCCACCCTGTTGCGACATGTTGCGTGTTGTTGGTACAAGTTTGAAAATGGTCAAATTTTCCATCCAACATTTGTGGATGTTGCCTGATGTTGTACTCGTTTGGCCGGGTTCCTACAACAGTGTTGCGCCAAGGCATGCGCACTGTACGATTTGCAACACCCAACATGCCGCAACACGTCACAACAGAGTGGCCAAACGCGCGCCTATGTTGCACCCAACAATACTGCGATAAGAAGACATGATTGATCATCGCAGTTATATACACAACTTAAGCCCTGGTCAAAGGATCGCAACACTTCAATGCAACATATCGCAACATGTTGCACGCGTTTGACCACCATATTACGACGTGTTGTGACATGTTGCGAGACGTTGAATGTTGTTGGTTAAAGTTTGAAAATGGTCAAATCTGAGCCAACAACGCCCAACATGTCACAACACGTCGCAACAGAATGGCCAAACGCGCGCAACATGTTGCGCCCAACAATGTTGCGATATGTTGTGTTGAAATGTTGCGATCGTTTGGCCGGGGCTTTATAGTTATATCTCGTTCGCCAAACCAGTGTCATCACTCTGGCCAGTCACAAAGGACACAAACAATCCAATGAGCCAATCAAAACTCGTAGTAAATACTTGAAGCCGGCGCAAAGCGCAGAAAAACGTGATCAAGCGAGTCCTGATTGGTTCTGGTTTTACTTCCGATTGAATCAAAAGTGTAGTGTGTTTTTTTAAGCCAATCGTGAAGCGTAAAAATGCAAACCAATTACTTTTCGACATTCAAGTGAATAACCGCTCTATGGCCAAAGCTCAGAATTTTTTCATTACACGTGTTTCATATAAAATGACCTCTTCCTATCATTTTGCTTTTTGTTAGATTTCAAATATTGGGAGGATGCTGCTGACGAGTTTAAAGACCAAGAGGGCACTCTGCTACCGCTGTGGAAATTCTCTTGTGAGAAATCAAAAAGAATGTCTGTTACCACTCTTTGCTGGTATGTATAGGAGATGTTCCCTTTCAAAACTTGCAGAATTTACAGGTGGTAAAAGAGCTAATGAGCTCGTGTATTCTTTGTTAAAGTTTGGCTTTTTAAACCTGCGTCACTTCTGATCTGATTTGAAGCCTGTCTACTCCATTTCGGAGCATGGGCCACTGGAAAAACATTCCAGGCGGCAATGATCGTGTGGTGTTTTTGAGAAAGAATCGATGTGGTAGACTTTCGTTGTTAGTGGCTTTCCCTACCTTTTAAGCTCCTTCAGATTCCTTCATCACA